TGTTGGTCACTTTGCCTCAACTCTGAGTAGGTGTTCAACATCTCCTAACAAAGGCTTCATGAAATCCTGCATTTTTTGCAGGAGTTTGTAGTATTAGTTTGTGATCAATTTACATTTTATTGTAGATGTTTAACAATTGAGATTCTGACAGAGGAGCAGGGCTAGATGTTAGGTCAAACCAGGGCTGAGTGAGGACTTACTGGTTAAGCATCACATCAGTTGTTGAGTATTTTCTTCTTATCATAGCTTGTGCTTTCCCATCTGCTCTGAGGACTGCAGGGCACGAGGAATTCCTGCAGAGTACTGACCCAGACAAGAGTCAAAGAGAGCTTCCCAAAGCTGAGATTGGCAAGAGGGTAGTAGGCAGAGAGGAGCAGGAAGAGCTTTGCTGGTGCCAGATTGGGTGTGTACACACATCAATCACATTCACTAGGTGGTGTATATCTTTTCATAGAAGAGGAGACTGAGTCTTGGAGAGATTGCTTTCCCAAGGTGTCACAGCTAATGAGTACCAAAACAGAGATTCACCCAGGGTTATTGACTCAAATCTGTGTCCTCAAGTCTGTGCCATGCTGCTCTGTATTTTTAAATTCCAGGTTTTGTGTGTGTGTGTGTGTGTGTGTGTGTGTGTGTGTGTGTGTGTGTGTGTTTATATGAAAGCTTTAAAAATTCAATGCCCAAAAGCCTTAACCGAGAAATGCTTTGCCATTCAACAAATCTTGTCAAAATCTGTTGCTAGGAAGGACAAAAAGAAAGGATACCTCCCCTTGAGTACCCAAGATAGAGTTTGAAGAAAGAGCTCCTCAGACGTGGCAAGTCACCAAGAAAATGAAAGGCCCTATACCATGTCACTCTTCTTAGCCTGAAACGCTTTATCTAGACATGAGCAGAGCTGCTGTGCCCTGAGTCCTTCCCAGGGAGGATCTGCATTGTTATCTTCTAATATAATGGCACTCGAGTGTTTAGATGTGAAATTTTTATTATCAATGAACTTTTTTTTTATTTCTCGTCTACATTAGAGCCAGAGCATTATGTTGATCTTTTTCAAATAATGGGCCTGACTAGGTTATATTATCTGAGATTTCCTCTAAGATAGCAGAGTGGACCCTGGTGCTGATAAGGCTAAGATTCACTGGACTGTGCTGAGGTGTAAAATGAGGGGGAAATAATCACTTTCAACCTGGTTCTGAAAACTCATGCTCAGAATGTTACTCCTTTTTAAACTGTTCCTTTGGTTCCCGCTGATTACAGACTAAGGAGGCCTATCGGTTTGACATATGAGCAGTCCTCTAGAGTCTGGTCCTTCTGCCCTTCCCCTATCCTGCCCCCATCTTCTGCCCTGCAGCCTGCACACCCTGCTCTCTGGCTGTTCATGACGCTAAAGCGGAATCCCATCACATAAGGTCAGTCATACATACTAGCATATGAGCACACGACAATGGAAATGATTAACCTGACAATGCATTCAGTGGAGCAAGAAAAGTGACTTGTCTTTTCTCAGTTGGACCCAGTTCCTGCATCACCTCAAAAGTAAGCAGCTCACCTAGCTCACAGATTACAGCATAGATGATTTTCACTCAGCAGTTCCTCAAACTCAGGCCTACTATTTTGTGTCTGCACAAACCATGCCTGATGTATGGAGGAGGCAATTTAAGACCTTTTTACAGGTGATTTTGACCATGAGCCATTTGGTTGCATGCACTATCTCCAGAACCTGCCCCTGTACAGTATACAGGGGCCAGGTGGCCATTTCAGCGAGGCTGTATGTAGGCACCCTACAGGCGCTGCCCCAGCTCCTCTCAGATTTAAAACTTCACTTTGCCTCACACAGACAAAGGCCTCTTCATTTGATGTCAGGCCTGGGAGTGAGAGCAGAGCCTGGGACCACATAACCTGGGACACAGTTTAGTGAGAGAAGCTTGGATTCAGGCTAGTGCCTGGGAAGCAGGCTTTTCCGATCAGGGCTCTGCCGATTGGGTCTTGATAATGCTCCATTTTAATTTTATAATCGATCAGAAGTCTAAGCAACATCAAATAGTTGGGAAAGAGTTTCAGCTCCTTTTCTAGACCCAAACTATATTGCGCTTTTTGTTGTTGTTTATGTGCCTCTTTTTTCCCAGGAGGACTATGGCCTACTTGAGTACAGGGACCCTTTGTATTTGTATTTCAGGTCACAGCCTTGGTCTGAGCACACCACACATGATGCTCTGTGGTGAGGACTGGCATAGTAGCATACAGGGAGCTCAAAGGTGTCACGAGGAGCAGGCTCCAAAACGACCAGAGCTCTGTGAGCTGTCTGGGGAGTAGCAGCATAATGGGTGTTTGTTTCCTGTCTCTGTACTGGGAAGTCGTGTTTACTCCATGATGACAGACAAGCACAAAATGGAGCGGAGGGTCTCCGTAGCCTCACCTGCGAGCTCACAGGCGGCATGGAGCTGTTGTGCCAGCGCTAATGAAGCGTACAGGAAACGGCACTGGATAAAGTTCAGCTGTGAACCCTGGCCTCCCAACAGGGGAAAGAGGGATCCTTTGAAGAAGAAGACAGCTGGGTTTTGGTTTCAAGACCTTAACGCTGCCATCACTAGATATTCATCTGTCAGTGCACAGGGGACAACATGTGGAGAACAGTTGTGTCCGGTCAGGCCAAAGAGGGAAAGAAATGGCTGATTTCCAGAGTAACTATGAAACCTCCTATGGCTGAGGATTCTGCTTAGCATAGCCAAAAAGAATCGATTTGCTGAGGCTGAGGCTGAGAACCTGGGCATTCTGCTGAGGGCCAGGCGGTCCTACCACATCACCTTCCTTCATCCTCACAGCAGGACGCAGGCAAGGAGGCTGGAGGTTCGGCCCAAATTATGCTTGTCAGTTGAACATAGTGGCCAAAACTGCTTCTGTACACACCGAGTCCTAAATTACCAGGGAATGCAGCCTGCCCCAGGTCACTTCAAGTGTTTCTACAGGGAGTTCAACTTTATTCTTATTTATATGAGGCAACAGTTTTCTTGCAAGGAAATACTTTCTCTTCTTACTTTTTATAATCCTCCTTCCTGATTTTCAGTTCCGAGATTTAAATAGCGGTGTGTTTTTTTCTTTCAGGAAAAAGAAATTTGTAATCCTTGGTTGAGTTTGTTTACTAAGAGTCCTCTAATCTGGACAAGAGTTTTCTTCTGAGGGGATTTATTGTTTCTACTAGAATGGCTTTTAACTCAGCTGAGGTTTATTTAACAGACTAGGAAGGGAGAAATTTATCTCCTCCCTAATCCCTCTTGAATGTTTCCATCTCTCTGCCAAAGTGAATGTTGTGTAAAGTGGCAGCAGTGGTTTGCGCGGTAATAGTCAGTGTGCAGCTGCCAGAGCTGATTGAAACATATTAACATAAGTGATAATGCTGTCCTAGAAGTGAAAAGTTAAGTTGCTTATCAGTATATTCTGATAAACTACTTAAGTTTTACAGTAGCATGTGCTGGCTTCAGACATGCGTCAGTGACAGGGAGCTGTGCACTTTATCTGTCTCCTCGATTGCCCCTCACTTCATATATTACCCTCGGCGCTGTGGCTGGTAATCTGCAGGGCGCTGATTTCCCTCCGCCTGGCAGGACCGAGTGGAGCAGAATCGGCGCTCCCTCTGCGTCCAGCTCTATCAGCAGCGGACGTACGCTGTCAGCTCTGCAGGGCGGACCTGTGGGGGTGGGCCAGCACTTGGTACAACACTTCTCACATGACACTCTGTTGCTTCAGAAAGTTTCTTATAGAGAATAAAGCCATTTAAATTAAGTGACAGAACTTCTTGGGAGTGGGGATGCATTTCAGCAGCAATTCTGAGGCACTAATGTGCCTTTGCTGTTAGTCTTTATTTAATTTTGGTTGTTGCGTCAATACTAAGCATTGATGGCATTCTGTCTGTGTGCTTGGCCCTGGGAAGACAAGGTAAAGCAAGACGTGTTCCTTCCTCCCTGCAGTCTGCTGAGAAAATAGATACACCATTGAATGTTACATTGATGTGTGGAATGTTATAACAAAAGTAGGCATATGCCCTGGGCAGCATAAAAGAGAGGAAATCACTAAAAATCAGTCTGAGGCTGAGTGTGAGAACCTGGGCACTCTCCTGAGAGTCAGGCCTCCCTTTGACCTTCCATGAAGGTCAGAGGGAGAAAAGGGCCAAGTCTAGACAAGCAGAGGCAGGCTTGAGGTTGCCTGCACATGCTCAGGACTCGTGAGGCTGTAGTGACAGGATGTACATGAGGAAGTTGAGCGAAGACAACCAGAGAGGCAGTCAAGGGCCAGACAATGGAGAGACTCGAATATCGTCCTAAGAAATCCTGCAGCGGTGGGATGACTGCAGGAATTTAATCCAATGTGCCACTTAGACTTGCATTTTAGAAAGACCATTCTAAAAGCAATATTCTAAGAGATGGACTATGGTTAGGTGCATGCTGTTATCAGTGTAAAGGGACATGGAGCCAAGACCTGGTAGAGGGCAGTGGGCCGCAGAGGTAGTGCTCATCCCACAATAAATACAATAAGTAATAGAATGTTTGGTGTAACAAGATGAGTGGTTTCGGGCTCTTGGGGCCTTTGGGACACCTTGCAGCTGCCAGCAGTGGAAGTGCTGCATGTGTGTGTGGCTGTGTGTGTCTAATCATGAGAAACTTGAATAGAAGATTTCCTGGAAAGGGTGGGTGTGGTGGGAGAGGCCTGGGGGCTACTCAGAGTTAGTTCCTGATTGCAGAGTCTGCTTTGAATGTCTTCTCTATGAACCTGTTCTAGCTCTGAGGCATAGGAATAATTTATAATGAACATTCAATCCTCCGTCTTAACCAGGCAGTTTTTTAAAATCCCAGAAATAATTAGCATTTCACCAGTCTGGGTTTCCAGCATAGACTACGACAGGAAGACTCTAGGATGTAGAGAAACACTGAAATGTACCAGTCTGGAATTCACTCTTGGTTAAAGTTTTGACCTGCATACTAATATTTCATGTGTTTTCTCTCCTTTTCCAGCTATCTCCCGTGGTTCGAAGTATTTTATAAACTACTTAACATCTTGGCAGATTATACAACAAAAGGACAGGTATTTGTCTTCTATTCTTTTTAACGAGTAAACTTTAACTTTTATGATTATAAGAGTAATATATGCTCTATATTTCACCAAGTTGTTTACCAAAAATGTAATGCATGCTCATTATAGAAAGTTTGGGAAATTTAGAAAATAATAGGAGGGAAGAGAAAACCACTCCTACATGTTCATACTCTGTTTCCGCCCCCATAAGTGTCACTAGCATTGTGGGATGTTTTCTTCCTTTACTTTATGAGTTAAATATGTAATAAATAGATCTTTAGCATTAAGAGTTAATATTTATATTATCTAATGGTCCCAAGCAACCCTGAAAGTTCATGACAGTATTGTTATAATTTTGCTGAGGCACAAATCTGAATTGCTCATATCATGCTGCAAAGCTGGGGTTTGTGAGTGAATCACATAACGGGCCATTTACAAAAAGGAAAAATATAGGAAGTTAGACATATGGACAAATGGAGAGGGCTTTGCTCCTGGCTGAGCAAGTTACTAACTGGTGGATTTGAGCCAAGTGGCTTCATCCTTCAGAACCTCAGTTTTTCAGTCTGTAAAGTGGGGTAGTTGTGAGATCATATAGGTTTTAAAAAAGGATACAAATGTGAGCTTATTACTGTTATATTAACAGAATGCCACAGAATGGGAAAAATGGCTTTTGGATAATTCTGTAAGCAGTGTTCTTTTGAGCATTTTAAAGGTGACTCTTGTTTTCAGTTGAATAATTTGCACTGCTTTGTATTTAATTTCACTAATTAAAATGCACAGCCATCATCCTATCTTGCATGCTGTTATATGTAGTTCATTTTTAACTTTCCATAATTGGAGACTACCATGTGTACCCAGTGAACACTCAATAAAATTAATTGAGGGTAATGATGATGAAGACAAGATCTATAGTGTCATCATTATTTCTCCCCACCACCCCCAACCTGTAAGTGAGGATTGTTTGCATTTAAAAATTGTTGAGAGGATAGAGAGGATAGATTTGCTGAGAGCTTATGGTACATGATCCATAAAAGGCGGCCATGGTAGGTGTCTCACTGAGTAGAAAATGTCAAACTTGGTGTGGGAGGATCTATTTGGCACTTATATTGAACCATAAGCAGTTCAACCCTCCTTAAATATCAAACCTGTTTCCATCCTGGGGCCAGTACCTCCCAGCCCCTCAGTCATGAGGAACCCCAGCTTACTGCCCAGGCCTCCCTGCAGGTCTCTCACTGAGGGCTCAGCCTTGATTTGGTCACTGAGGCCTTTTATTTCTTTCAGGAGAGTCAGTGGAATGAGCTTCTGGAAACTCTGCACAAACTTCCCATCCCTGACCCAGGAATGTCTGTTCATCTCAGTGTGGTAAGTGGGCAGAACATCAGCCATCACTGAATAACCATTTAACTAATAATAGTAAGAAGGAGTTAGCCGAACAGGGTCATTCTTTGTTCTCTGCACCTTCTACGCCCTAACCCGGAGTTCTCTGAGACCCGTAGGCTCAAGGCAGGCCAGGGAGTTGTATTTCTTCCTTTCTCTTGATTCTATGAGCAATGGGTCCCAAATGTCCTCAGATCCTCTCTCCCTGGCTGTCAACCCATCACTAGCAACTCCTGGCCTGCCTCACATTTTGCCCCCCAGCGTTGCTGTGAATGTCTCTTTGCTGAAGCCAATCTTGCTGCCATCTGAGCCTTCAACACCACTTCTCCCCTACTTACTAGGGTATGCCATATTCCTCCTTCAGAACTCAACTCGGATTTAATTCCAAGAAATCCTCTTCAATATCCACCAGGCTTAAAGATTTTTTTTTGTCCCAAGCATCTTATACACTTACCAGTACTCAGTCATGCCACATTGGACTATCTGTTTTCCTATACCCCCATGGACTGTAGGTCCCTGAGGACAGGGACTGGCATAGTTCCTGGCGTACACTGATAACTTCTTTGAGCTCTTTTATGTACATGCTGCATGTTCTGTAGTGTGCTAGGGTGGAAAAATCCTCTGAACTACAAATTGGGAGATTTCACTCCTTGTTGTAGTTTTGCCCAAGATCTGAGTCTTTGTGTGTTTCCATATTTCAGTTACTAGAATCTTCCAATTACCTGGATCAAACCCTTGTCACCACCTCCATTAGTATTCTAAGATGGACATGCTTTGGCCAGCTGTTGATTTTACAGGGGCTATTTCCCTTAAGTTGTTAGGTCTGCACGTTTAAAACGTCTTGTCTTTCAGCTTCACTAGAACCAGGTACAGTATTGGTCTTCAGTGGTTATTATCTTGGTATTTTCCCTCTTAAAGGAAATGGACATATCTCATAAGGATTTGGTTTTTTCATGATGATCAAATTGAAAGCAATATTATTATCAATAACTAATAATATATTATTTACTAAGTTCCTAATATATGCCAAGTATGCTTCTCTAATGTTCACAACAATTACAAGTAAATATTAGCATTTTCATTTCATTGATGAGGCTTAGAGAGGAAAATGTACTTGCCTATCCAGAGTTATGTGGTTAATTGTGAGAAGATTGGGGTTTTCAAATCCAACATAGGCTAACCTTCCAAGCCTATGTTGTTTCCACTAGGCCAAAAGTGTTGAAAGAAAAGGAGAAAGAAGGAAGGAAAAAAGGAGTTAGTAGGGTTTTTACTCACTTTAATGGAGCATGGGAAGGAAAGGAGCCTTGTTGCAGAAATTCATGTAAGGAGGACTGTTGGGAAGATGAAGGAATGAGCTTTAAACCTGCCTCACTAATCGCCGCACAGCTAAGCCACCTTTGCCTTTGCTGCTGTCCTTTTTCTAAACAGCTTGATCTCACCACTTCAGTCTATAATGACATCCGACAGGTAACTGTGGAGTAGCCTGGCTGGGTCACCAGATGCTGGGGAAGAAGGGCCATTCCTTCCCCTGAGTGGCTGCCAGGCCTCAAGGACGAACCATCGCAGAGGCAGGAGAAACTGCGGGGAGGGTGCAGCTGTTTCATGCCAGTGGTTTCTAGGAATGTTTTTGACCTCTGGTCGCAGCATTTCATGGGCGATGGAGCAAGACAGAATCTCAAAGGACAGCTTGGTGACTACTTGTGTTGGGAGCTGCATTGACTCACTAGTTACAATCCATTGCATCTGTAAAGGCAGATTTTTTTTTCTTTCTTGTACACAAGGAATTCCTTTCTCCATGTGGTATTTCTGATTTTAAAGCACTCATTTCATCTAAATCAGAAAGCCTGAATTATTGATAAAATGGCAATCCTGGATATTTTTTTGATTTAGTCACAAGAAAATATTTATGTATGACTGATACAGGTGATTGAGAAAAATGGAAATGTAAACTAGCAGTCGAGAGCAATAATCATGATTTTCTATTAAAAGACCATTTATGGAATTCTAGGCATTTTACATATATAACGTTATTCCTCACAACAGTTCTGAAGTAGATATTACAATTCAAAAACTGAGGCTGTTAAGTGAAGTTGCTAAAAATCATATAGCTGTTAAATGCCAGCTCTGTGGTCCCTGTTCTTTCCCCTTCACTGTGCCAACTATTACATTATTACTCCAGCCCCTTGTGGACTTCCATTACTGAACATTTCCTGGGACTCCCTTCTAGCCATTTGGAATAGAAGTTGGTGAATTTGGTGTCAAATTTAACCTTGTATTTTACTTTCACTATTTTAATCCTTATTGTTAGTTGTTGACTAGTTTCCATGCTGTACAATCTCTGTTGTAATACTTTATAGGTGATATTTTGGCACAGACACACAGACTTTGGATTAATGCATTGCAGATTTTTTTGGTTTTTTTTTTTTAAGTTATCTTTTTATAATTTGTTTTTACTTTTTAGTTTATTATTTCAATTCAGGTGACTTCAGCTACAATTTGCATTTAAAAAGCACTGGTAAAACAGCCTGTTGTAGTGGAAAGAACAGAGCTCTTAATTATCCAGACCTGGTTTCAGTACTGGTTCTGTCACCTACAAACCATGTGACCTTCACAAGTTACTTTCACTTCCCTGAGCCTTAATTTACCCATTTGCAATGTGAAGATAATTTCTACCTTAAAATTTATTATGGAAATTAGAGGCAATATTTCTAAAGTACTTGGCATAAAGCTTGCAATGTAGCAGGCATTAAATAAATGTCTGTTAAAATTAGACCAACAACTCATAGTATTATTGTTGTCATTGTCATTTCAATTGTCCCCTGTGCCTTTCATTTCAGGAAGGCTATCCGACTCATTTTTTTAGAGACCCATTTATTTTGCAATTATCCAAGAATGGTGGGGCAGGAGGACTTCCTTAAATGTCACTTGGGGGTCCAGGTTTGAACTTAGGCCATGGTTAAGCCGACCTCCTCTGCATGTGACCTTTCCTGGCCTTTGCATAGTCCCTTCCTTAATTGATTAGCACTGGGCTCTCTCCATTCCTGCTTGCCATTGTCCTCTGAGTCTTTCATAGCACAGTGGAGGTATCATTAGTTCAGTCTGTTGTCATTTGACTCAGGGACACACTCTTGTTACACACATAGCGATGCCTCCTTGAAAGTTCTTTGTACTGGTCAAGTTTTCAACTCCACTGAGGTGGAGATTGCACTAGAAGTCATGAGGCTTATTGGCAGAGCATGCATACTAAAGAGAAATCCTCCACTCTTAACCCCTGGAATAGTCTCAGTGCAGCTATCCTTCAGCTGGAGCTGTCCTTAACATCACTTGGGCCTTTGGGCAGATTTCTCCCGAAGCCTATAGATGGATATAATCTCAGATGCTGAAATGAAATGGCAGGTTTGATTGGTAAAGACCATTGTTGAGTGAACCTTGTGATATCTGTCCCTAGAGTTCATTTGCCTCATTGAACAATAACTTATGAAGCCTGAAGCTTTCTTATGCTCAGAAACCTGCAAGCATCATATGGGAATGTAGCCTTTAACCCCTTTGAGTTGTTCATTTATATCTCCCAAAGTAGCTCATACTATCTAATAAAGAGGGAATGTGCAAATTGACCATCATGCTGTAACAAAATGGCTGTGCCCACAACAGAGGTGGGGATCCTGTAACAAGATGGCTGCACCCACAGCGAAGGCTGAGTTCCTGTAATGAGCCTGAATGAGCACTCAGCAGGGACCTGAGGCTGTGTGGCGCTGGGCTGGGGCAGGAGGGGACCTGAAGCCACACTCCTCGCCCAGGAGGGCTTGATAGGGGATCTCAGGCCACGACCCCCACCCAGGCGCCAGGCCAGGCAAACTGAGGCTCTGGTGGGGGTTGGCAGGGGTGGGGCCAGCTGGGTCTGGATCTAGCCCAATGGGGGCAGGGCTGGCTGGGTCTGGGTCCCATGCAATTTTGAGGTGCTCGTGGGCGGGTAGGTACTTGAGTCTGGTTCCCGTGGTGTGCCCCAGACTCTTGATAGGAAGATTTTCATATACATTTTACTAATTTTTTTTATCTGACACTTCTATTATAAAGAGATAGGGTAAATAGCAATATTAAAGTATTTCCTTTAATTCCCTTTTAATGTGCACAAATTTCATGCACCGGGTCACTAGTCTCTTTTAGAAAAGAACTCCATCTACCAAACTGATGATTTAATGCATCTTCCTTTAATCCAGTGTTATCCAAAGAAAAGATTCCATAGACATTTCCAGTGAGTGAAATTACTTCCACATCCGAGTAAAAAATTATCTTCAAATCATGTACCTGACTTCTTAATAATGTGCTTGTTGCTTATTTTTGCAAAAATAAATTGGTTTTCTTTTCTTTTCCAGCATTCTTATTTTAATGTGCCTGATACCAGAGAACTTCCCAGCATACCTGAGAATGTGAGTACATGGGAGGAAAAAAATTTAAATTTTTGTTTTTTGTAACTTACTTTTAAAAGAAAATAAAAGTATATATTTCCCAACTATAAAATAGTGCATTATAAAGGCAAAAACAGTAGAGGATATTTGAAAAGTTTAAAAACAAGGAGGGATTATTATTCATATTTCTCAAAGGCAATCACCTATTAACATGTTGATATCTCATTCTAGTCTTTTTAGAATGTATTTTTTATATAGTTATGATCACCTATTACATAAGCATTTTTCCATTTCTTTTATAAGAATCTTTTTTATGGCTGCATATTATTCCATTTGCAATTTTTCTTACTGTTGTGCATTTAGGTGATTTTTCGATTTTGCTGTTGTTAGTAAAATATTTCCATATAAAGATTTCTCGAGTAAGGTAAATTTACTCAAGTAGAATTATACTTCTACTATATTTCTATATTCACTTTTAAGAGAGTAAAATAAAGTATTTGTGAGGATAAGTATAAGGACTCCCAGTCCTGCTTCTTAAGGACTTAAAAGCAGTGACCTTGAATCGAGGGAGCAGAGGTTAATTCTTGCATTCTGACAGGCTATGACATAGCAAGCCTAGCCTTAAGACATATTTTCAAAATGTTTTACTCAGATTATAAATAGTGATATGTAGAATTAAATATAAAATTACCACCACTTAGGCACTTGATTAATATTTAATTGAGGCAAAATGTACATAAAATAAAATTTATCATTTTAACCATCCTTAAGTGTATATTTCATTGGTGTAAATACATTCATATTGAATTTACAATATGCCTAAACCAATTGTGTGATTTTTTAATATATAGAGTCAAAATTTGTGCATCGGGCAGGTGTCCCTCAGCTTGGTCTGCACCTTCTCCAATCTACAACCCCATAGGGGTCGGGCCTAAACCGACAGTCAGACATCCCTCTCACAATCCGGGACTGCTGGCTCCTAATCACTTGCCTACCTGCCTGATTGCCCCTAACTACTTCAGCCTGCCAGCATGATCACCCCCTAACTGCTCCCCTGCCAGCCTGATTGCCCCCAACTGCCATCTTGTGACGACACAGGCTTTTATTATATAGGATGTTAGAGTAACAACTATTGCTCAAGTTATGTTTTTATTTAATTTTTTTTTTAATTTTAAGGATTGAGAAAATTTAAAGCACTTGAAAATTCTGAAAACTTATTACTTTTAAAGATCATAATTACTGAGATTAGAAATAGCTTAGACAAAAAAACAACAACCACCCTGTCTTTTTCATAGCCCCACCTCCAATTCTTGTCTGTACTATATGCCACCTCCCTGCCCCCACCACTTTAAAAAATTTGCATTCTCTTAGCTGTTTTTGCCACTAATGAACCAATTCCCTCTGCATGACCCATTGTCCATTAAATCCTCCTTTGCAAACCGGTAAAAGGCTGGCCTTGTTTATTTCTAAGCAGGAATAAAGACAGTCTGCCAGACTTCTAACATACATGGTCCCATTTAAATCCTTCCCACTTCTCTGTGAGAGGTAGACGTGAGCCCCATTGTACATATAGGGACCCCGGGCTCACAGACCTGAGTTTACTAGCCCAAGGCCTGCTCCTAAGTAGGGTTCAATGACCTAGGCTTGTTAGGACCAAAGCATTTTATTTCCATTATACCCACCCATCTGGCCTCCCTACAGTTGACTTTTGATATTCATGAGGAAAAAGGAAATGAAATGATTTTTTGTAGCTCAAATATGAAATGAAGCAGGCGAGCTTTTTCTCTAAGGAGAATCTAAACTTTTGTAGGACCAATTTGTGTGATTTTTTTTATATAGAGTCACTATTGAGCTCTAGCCATGTTGAAATTTGCATTTTAATCTCTTGGTGATTTTTCAAGGATTAATTTAAAATGACTAAATTGCTGCATTGCAAATTGAAACAAGCAATAACAGTGGGGTTGTTAATACTATGGCAGTATGCTGTAGTGGAAAGAACATGAGTTTTGGAGACAGCCAGACACTGGGCTCTACCACTCTGGGACCTTGGGCTACTTCTATTATCTGAGCCTTGGTATTCTTATCTAATAAAGAAAAATGGGAGGAACAAATGAAGTATTAAATGTAAAATTCTAAATTCAATGCCTGATACAATATGATGCTGCTTTTTAAAAAAATATATATTTTATTGATTTTTTACAGAGAGGAAGGGAGAGAGATAGAGAGCCAGAAACTTCGATGAGAGAGAAACATCGACCAGCTGCCTCCTGCACATCCCCAACCGGGAATGTGCCCGCAGCCAATGTACATGCCCTTGACTGGAATCGAACCCGGGACCTTTCAGTCCGCATGCCGATGCTCTATCCACTGAGCCAAACCGGTTTCGGCTGATGCTGCTTTTGAGACTTCTTTTCTTTCCCTTCTTCCCTTGGCCTTCCTGGAATTCTTGAGATCTGAGTTGTGACTAAGGGCTAGAGAGCATTACTTCTTATAGCTTGTGTTTTCTAGGTTTTTGCTGACATTCTTGTGTGTGAAGACCAGTGCTTTTCCTTTCATGAAGTGTGTATTTGGCCACAAAAGTCTCTTAGCAGGCACCATTAATACCAGAATTTGTGAAGCTTGGGAATGGTATAGGAAATGGAGTCTAGAACTTCAGTGCCTGTAATGTGGGGAGGTGGCTGTAAATATTGATTGATTATCTTATCTAAGGGACATAATGAACTTAGCGACTAAGCAAAGAAAACAGTAAAAGGACTTTGGGATATGGAACTTGATTCTGACTTCAGACAATCATATTCTTCTGGACTCTTCAGAAAAAGGTTCTTAAGAAATTAAGGCGCTCATACCTACTTTGGGTCAGATCAGACACAGTGTGTTAAATCATGAAACCTACACAGCAGCCAAGTGGTGTGGTTGTTCTTCCTGAAAAGCTTTGAAGAGGAAATGAAGCTCAGGGAAGAAAGTTGCCACTAGTCATCCAGCCACTAAATGCTAAAACCAGGATTCACACTCAGTCAGTCTGATCCCAGCACTGAGATCCTGTTGGGTCCTGGGCTTCCCACTCCATAGTTCCTATACCCTTCTAAGAAATCACTTATCATAAGTGTAATTAATTATGCAAATCTTTGTTCAATATCCTCTCTCCTTCCTGAGGACAAATATCAGGATTTTTCTATCACTGCATCTCCATAATTAGCACAGAACATAGAACACAGTAGATGCTCATATATATTTATGGAATGAATGAATTAATGAATGAACAATGCAGCCACCCTCAGGTGAAGGAAAAATAATAGTTTCTCCTGGCTTTGGGGCTATTGTGTCTACAAGACATTAATGAAAAGCAAAGGTAGAGAATTAATTTTTTCTACTCTCAGATGCCTGTTGAAGTTAATTCTCATTATTTCTCCAATTTTTTTGTAAAACTATTTTCTTTTTACTGAAAAACTATCACCATATAATTGTTCACCAGGGTTTTCTCTATCAAGATAACAGATGTAGAAGTGAATTTTATACAGGTAATAGTTAAATGAGCATAAATCTTTATAAATTTTGAACAGTTGACCTGCATTAAAAAAGTCACAGATCATGAACAGATATATAGTAATAATTAAATTGTAAACTGGCTGGAGAAGAGATTTTTTTTTAGCGGCTAGGTTTTTGAAGTGTATTTTGATTAATGGGTAAGCATATAGACCGTCATTTGGAATATTAAACAAACCTGTCTTAATTATCTGACCAGTGTCATACCAACTGGTTAATGATGCAAGAAAAGCATTTAGAATGGACAGTTACATATAACATTGCCCAGACTCCACTTTGTCAAAAGATGCAGCATGATATAGAAAAGATATATGAACTTGTGGTGACTTTCACAAATAAAGTTGGGGTGGTAGTAGAAGACCTATAATCAAGTACCGAGATTATAGAGAATTCCATTGTTGCTCTTAAGAGTTATCAGGTAATTGTTTATTCTAATGGTTTTTCCATTCACTCAAAGGGATAAAAGTTGACCTTAGGGTAAACTCTGCTTTCTTTCCTATTATGTACTTACTTTGCTTATGTAAATTTGTGGAATTCTTTCTCAGACAGATTATTTTAGAATTCAAATTTATAACTCCCTTTTAAGGATCCCACACAACTAAGGGGACCTAAATTCTTCCTTTAAAAAAAATCAATTGAGGTTTTTAAAGGTTTACATTATGGTAAAATAATCTGAGCTGGAGTTACTTCAGGAAATAAGACCCACTGTCAAAACCAAGCCTCCTGCCTTAGAAGCCTCTTCCAGACACAGTACAGTAAGTCTTTATCATCTATACTGTGTGTGAAGCTGCAAGTCACAAAGACTAATAAAATGACAGACCGTGGGGCGGACTAGCATCTGTTCCAAAGGCTCCAAGGAGTACCCAGCTTAGAGTCGGTTCTTTGGTTTGAGGATTATCTCATTTCCCTAAGGTATTGAACGTAAGACGCTTTTTCTTTAAGCCCCACTGTATCAGCCCATTCCACCTCCCCATCCACCCCCCTCCTGCTTCCTAACCCCGGGTGTGGATCACAGTGCACCCGCAGTCCCCAGCCACCTGGGTCAGCACAGGAGCCAGCAGGGACAGTTAGATGCAAGCAGCCACTCTGGATCTTCTCCTGGGGGACATGGGGTTTTGTCAGGTGACTTTCCTTCCTCTTTGTTTGGATTTAGAGGCACAGAAGGTTAGAGCGAGAAGGGACTGTCACCGCTGTTTCTTTGTGGAGATGGGAAATGAAAGCTGGGGGAACCTATGGAACTGTGCTGCACATGCCTGCTCTGAAACTCACCTCCCAGGCTGCTGTGCTGCTGTTAACCAGAGACCTCCCAACTTTGTATCCCTGATACCCAGCCTCACAGAATGGGCCCGCAATATATTCTAGCTGGATGGGAAAACGCTCAGAAGGACATAACAGTAGATGTAATTGAAATAATGCTTAACTCCATGAATAGTAAAGGACTGTCCTTAACCCTAAAAACATAATGGCACTGAGAACACTGAGCTTTTTTGGACAAGGGCACTGGGAAATAGTCCCTCTAAGCAAGAAGGAGAAGTAATTGTCAGAGAATAAAGGGGGTGGTTACTTAGGCTTAGCCATGATGGCATTGTAATCCAGGACACTGCATTGTAACCATCCTCATTCTTGACAGGATTGATGGATCTTTAGAAGGAGGATTGATCCTTCATTAACTAGTAGACTTGCCTTTAAAAAACTGTTTGGGGAAAACAAAAATGTTTGGGGGGGAAAAACCTGTTTGGGCAAGTGGAAAGGTGTGGTGCACAGTCATCCAGATTCTTTCTCCCACCCTGCTTCTCAAGTCTAATTCATTGTCAAGTTCTGTAATTCCTCTTTACAGAAATCCATCCCATCCACTTCCAAAGCTTTCATCTGAATAGTTTGTTTGTTTTAATCATTCTTTCCTGGAATATGGCGTGGCTTTAACCGATTGCCCTGTCTTCCGCCCGCCCTCTCCTGTGCATCCTCCACAGGACCTGTAGGAAGATTTTTCCAAAACACAGATGTGGTTGTGCTATGATCCTTCAACAGCTCCCGCGGGATCTGGTCCCAGCTTCCCTATCCCAGCACGCCCCCTGACCTGCACTATCCTCCTTGCCTTTGCCTCTGCCTGGAATATGCTTCTCCCCTGTCCGCTGAGTGAACTCCTGGTGGGAGGCCCAAACCAGATATCTTCTCTGACAAGTCTTCCCCAGCCTTCTTCCCACACCCCCCCGCAGAGTTGAATCTGCCCTTCTTAGTCAGCACTGGAATGCGTGCAGCCTGGACCACAGTACTTTGTCCAATGGGTTTCTGGGTTTCATGTCACTCCCATCCCCAGACCATGCTCCTGGAAAATGGGGATTATGTTTCGTGCATCTCTGTTAACCAGCTCCCAGGGTAATACTGAACACAGAGTGGGAGTTAAATAAGTGTTTGTTGATTGGCAGGTTATAGAGACAGGAATGGGAGGTTGAAGACCCAGTTCTACTGATACAAAGTGCTAGGAGAGTTGCACACTTTGTGTTTTTTATAAATATAAGCTCAGTATGTTTTGGCTGCAATTTTGATCTGGGACAGTTTTTCATGGAAGATCTCTTCATATGCCCCATTCCCCACACTCCTGTCTTCTTCATCTGAGAAATACAATTAACCTGTCTGTGAAATGAGACCTGCTTTTGTGTACAGTCTCTCCCCATGCCCAATACCAGATGAACAAACTACCTATTTCCTTACACTTTTACTAAGTGTCGCCACAGATACCATTAAAAGGCCTGCCCCATCCACCCGGTTATTTTATCTGACTGTGAATCTGCGGTGTCAATTCTTTTTCGGTGGGCCCTTCACCATTACTAAGTAATCACTTCATCTAACTCAGACCCAGGTTTTCTGAAGTCAAACGCTTTGTTCTTCCTGATATACCACCTGTCCCTCTCCCAGGCTGGTGTGTTTCCTCCTATACCACACTGCTGGCACTTGAACTATGGAGCAGTGCTCTTCAGGCAGGTGGTTTCTCCACTCATTGATTCATTCCTTCATCACACTGCTAGATTGTGGATATGTCATCTTACTCAGAGGGTCCTCAGTCTGATCACAATTATACTGGTACTCCAATCAAACAATAACAAATGGTAAGATAAATGCCTGTTTTGTGGTTTTTTGGTTTTTTTTTTTTTTTTTTTTTTTGTATAATAAGATAGAGACAAATTGCCATAGAAGCACAAAGGGAAATTTGACAAATGAGTCTGGGAAGCCTTCCAGGAGGAGGTGACATTTCAGCTGGGTCTTGAAAAGTAAGTGGGAAGAGAAGAACATTCTAGACAAAGGAAAGAAGTAAAAGCCTGCTGTGTGAAAAGGTAGGGCAAGTCTCAGAAGTTGAGGGTTAGCGTGCCTTACACTGCTGGGTGCTTTAAGACATGGGGAAGGAGTCCCTCTCTGCAAGGGATTTTCTTCTGAGATGAAGCTGTGTAGGAACTGTGAGTGCCCCACTCTAGCTGCCTCCCCGCCAGGTGCTCCCATGGCCGAGTGAGGCTCCTGGGGCTGTCGCCACTCCCACCCACTCCCAACGCCCAGGCAGTGGCATCCCAGAAGGAAAGAGGCAGGGGAGGAAGCAGATAAGAAAGACAGCTTCTGTTTAGACACAAATATCTTGGTAATCAGCACAGATGGGATGAGAATACCAAAAAAAGTACATGACAGTTTAGAGAGAATTTGGCTAAATGTTACATATTTTTAACGTACCTGTGTAGAGTTTTTGGAATGAGCACCTGAATCTTTCAGAGCATGACTATTGTGCTTGGGGGTTATACCCCAACCAAGTGACATTTTTACTTCAGAGATGTTCCCTTCTCCACCCACAAAAGTATCCTTGTGATTTTTTTTTTCTCCCACCAAAATAAGGCACAGGATTTGTCTCTGACGCCGTGTCTCCTTATTTGGACGGCAAGCTGTGTAACATATTTCTACCCAGTGTGAAGCTTCTTGGCAGACTCTTGAGGCCACATTTTGGTGGCTTCAGAGTTATCTTTGGATCTGTCAAAAGTGCTAATGGGCTTTCTGGCCTTCTTTAAGCTCCTTATTTCTATTTTCTTTTTACTTCCATCTTCTTCTAAAAGAAAAATGCATGTAATTCATCAGCAGTTAAGCATTTTGCTGAAATGCTCAGCTGAGGGTCTTGTATTTTTGTTTGCGAGAATAGCTCTGCCATGTCACTGGCTCCAGAACAAACCCCATCTTGACATCATTAGCTCAGCACTCCTCAGCCCACTGAGCAAGAGATAAGCTCCTTGGTGAATTCAGCCTGCCTTTTTTGTTTTATTTTGCTTTTCAGGTTTGTTAAGAGGCAGGTTGGTGTGGTGGTTAGAACAAGTGATCTGATTTTGAAACTTGGCCCTTTCTAGCTGGGAGACCTTTGGAAAACTACTTCACCTTCCTGAGACTCAGTTTTCCCATCTATAAAATAGAGATGATAATGCCTTCCTCAATGTTCTGGAGAAGATTAGAGAGAACCAAGGTAAAGTGCCTATTGTCTGGCACATAAGGATTTTTTTTCCTCTTTCTTGAGGTATATAATACTTTTGTCCTTCTTTGTTACTATGCTATGCTTTTTTCCCCCTGAATACAACTTTACCTATTATTTTAATGGTATAAAAGAAGAGCATAGCTGTGATTGTCATTCCATATACCAGAGCATCATCCTGTACACCAAAGAGTGACAGGCTTGGTCCCAAGTCAGGTTGCGTACTGATGGCAAAGATAGATGTTTCTCTCTCACATCAATGCACTCTCGCTCTTGCTCTCGTTCTCAGTCTCACTCTCCCCCTAAAACCAATAAACATATCCTTAGGTAAGGATAACAAATTATTTAAAAAAAATAGAAAAGAAGAGCACAGGTTTAGAGACAAGCTCACCTTAGACTAAATAATGCCTTATCTGCTCTACTATCTAACCTTGGTCAAATTATTTCACTTTCTCTGTGCCTATTTTCCTATCTGTATAAAGAGATCATAATACCTGTTCAAGGAGTTGTTTCAAGATTAAGTGAAATAATATATGTAAAGCCTTGTATGTTGTAGAAGTTTAAAGTACTTACGTGGGACAGTATAATGTAAGGGAAAGCAAATGAGTTATGGAGTTGGATTTGAGTTCAAATTCTGACTCCCAGTTACTGGGTCTCTTCCAGACTTACCATACTTTATCTGTATATTGGAATATGAGATATCATATTCACATGATACCTCAGTGGGTTTTTATGAAAATTGCATAAGATTATAGCTACACGGTACCTGATATGGTGCCTGGTACTTGGTAGGTAGTCAGTGTATGGAGCTATTAATTCACTCTTTACTTATAAAGGTCAATGGTTAACCTGGTACTCCAATCAAACAATAACAAATTGTAAGATTAAGTGCCTGTTTTATTCCCAGTCCCTATATAATATTGTCAAAAAGCACATTATGCTATTTTGCATATAAAATCCACCTGGTTTACTTGAATTTATGGGTTATAGATCTTTCATTATTATAAATTGCAACCCCTGGCAATAGTGTTCCTTCCTTCCCCACCCCCTTCATTTTCAGAGGATTTTATTGTATGGCATTGAAAAGCTGTAACATTGAAGAAATTAGCATATTTATGTGTATTATTAAAGTCAGGTGGGTATAGAAAGGGTTGCAGAAATGAAACACATTACATTTCTTCTGAAATCTGAAGAGTACCAATCTATAGAACTAATTAAAGGAATGAAGCCTAGGCTACGGACAAAAGCTAGTTAGAACACTGCTTTGTCACAACTTGCTGCTGCTTGCCTTTGATTTTTTTTTTTTTCTTTTTGAGTAAAATACCTGGAAATTGTAAATCTTCTAAATTATTTTCATTCCAGCCAAGTCATTTTAGAGAATGTAAACTGTGGAGGAGAGGGACACCAGCCGTGACAAGAGAGGAGCATGCTGGCCTTTGTGGGTGGGATCTGTTGGACAGAAACGGTCTCTGCCAGAAGCGTTTTGTCCCTGGGTACTTTGTTTTGCTGAGATGTGTGGCACAGTGCATTGGGAAAATTCTAGGATCTGGGGTTCGAAGCTTTGAACTGCAGTCCCGTCTTCATTGCATACTAGTCTTTTTGATCTTGGCATATCTCTCTGAGCCGTGGTTTCCTCATTTGGAAGGTTGAGGACTTCCTGTCTTGATTACCTTCAGGAACTTCTGTGAATGACCTCATATTGTAAACTGTAATCACCACACAGGTATATTTGCTCAGACTACTGTGTCTCTAACATCTCTCCAACGCTGCACTTCATGATTTTATACATGAATGGGATTCATACGTGGTCCTCGGGTAGAAAGAATAGGGCAGGGGAAGAGGAGAGTATCCATCCTGATTATTTTCTGTTTCTCATGTTTTTATTAGATACTGCTTGTAATAAGAACCAACAAAATAAGGCACAAACCTCCTTTCTTCTCTCTCCTAGAGAAATCTGACAGAATATTTTGTGGCTGTGGATGTAAACAACATGTTACATCTGTACGCCAGTATGCTCTACGAACGCCGGATACTCATCATTTGCAGCAAACTCAGCACTGTGAGTAGATAAGGCTTGAGATGGGCTTTTTAATTATTGTATTTCAATTGAAGGATGTATTGGAAAGATTAAAGAAATTTTTAGAAAAAGAAATCAGCCACAATCCCCTCACATAGTAACATGTCATCTTCATTAATTATTCATGTCCCTTTATGGAGCCAATGCACATTTCATTTATTCTTAGAGTTTCACAATCACTTATAGTTTTCCATTTGATCTTATCGATATGTTATGCACACTTTGCATACTCCCACATAAGTGTCCATCATTGTCAGTTTTTATGTGTCTATATCTTATTCCATTATACTGATGTCATCATTTATTAAATCTTTTTTCTCTTGGTGGCTATTTCAATTGTTCATAGATTAACCCTTTAGTAGTTAACCCTGCAATGAATATCTTTTGGCTACTTTTGACCATTTCTGAGTGGAATTGTATTTATGTGTATGTGTGTAAGTATACATATTCATACCCACACACACTTCTTGGTCATGTATAGTGGGATACATGTTCATAGTAGCATTTTTCCCCCCCTGTTTTAAACCTGGGGAGGGCCCATGGCCATTAACAGAGAACTGATAAATTGTGGTATAGTCATACAATGGAGTATCAGTGAAACTAACATTGTCAGCATGATTGGGTCTCTAATATAGAATTTCAAGTAAAGAAATGTGCTACAGAAGAACATACAGTATGATTTCATTCATAAAAAGTTCAAGTAGGAAAAACTGAATGGTACATTATTTAGGGAATCATACAAACTACAGTGGGAGGAAAAGTGATGAACACACATTTTAGGTAGTAGTTTCCTCAAAGTGAGTGAAAAGAGTATAATCGGCAAAAGGTGTACAGGGGATATCAAAACTATTGTTTTTTTGTCTTGAGCTAGGATAGTGATCAAGAAGCCTTTCTATAATGGGTCCAATAGTGAATATGACTCAAGGCCAAATAATCTTTGCTACAACTACTGGACTGTAACCCTCTAGGTTACAATCAGTAAACTAGTGTCTGTGGCTGTATTCCAATAAAGCTTTATTTACAAAGATACTGACTGCAGTTTGTCAACCATTGAGTTAGGTGCTAGCTTTTGGAGTCATGTTTTTTTCTTTTAAAATATGCTTATTTGATATACACACTTTAGTATGTGCACATATTTCAGAATTTTTGAAAAGTTAAAAAATAAGATACTAAGCCCTTTTGTTATGAAACTTTACAATAGTGGGATAGAGACAAAGCAATTCTTATACAAAAGATAATCAAAATTGCACAAGATTTTGCTGTGACAGTTTTATTTTTATTTTATTGATTTGAGAGAGGAGATAGAGCGAGAGTGACTGATTTGTTGTTCCACCCATTTATGCATTCATTGGTTGATTCTTGTACGTGCCCTGGTCATGGGTTTAACCCACAACCCTTGTGTGTTGGGACAATACTCTAACCAACTGAGCTACCCAGTTTGGGCTGCTGTGTCAGTTTTAGAAACCAGAAGAGTCAAGTAGTGTCTTGAACATCTAAGGTAAATTGATTTCTAACCTGAGATTTCTATACTTATCTAATGAAAGTCTCAGCAGAGCATGGCAGGAGTTCATACCACATCTGTCAACCTCATGGTTCTCTCCTCTTCCACTCTGCCTTCTCCATTGTGGATGAGCTGTCTGACCTCTCTTGGGCCAACCACTCTGCTATCGACCTGACTTCATATAACAAGTATTTTTCATGGCACTGTTGTGGGCACTGGGGATACAACAGTGAACAAAATGGGCAAAAATATCTGTTCTCATTGAGCTTACATTTTAGTAGGGAAGACCTTGAATAAACAAGGTAAGTTAGGTATATAGTAATCATAGTAGGATTTACAGTAGTGTACTGATAAGTGGTAAGGACTGAAACAAGCAAAGAAGGAGAGTGGATGGGGAGTGGTAAGGTCATAGGGACTGTGATTTTAGATAGATGGCCCAGGAGTGCCTGATTAAGGAAGAAGCCATACTGCAGTGTCCTTCTTCCTGATTGAAGGACGTTCCTCTTACAGTCTGCCTCAGTATGTTGTTTTTTTTTTCCTTCTGGTCCTAATAGTCACTCTTCTTATGAGCTTACTAATATGTTTGTTTGTGTATATATATTATATATAATTGATTTTTTACAGAGAGGAAGGAAGAGAGATAGCTAGAAACGTTGATGAGAAACATCGACCAACTGCCTCCTGCACACCCCCCACCAGGGCTGTTGTCCGCAACCAATGTACATACCCTTGACCGGAATCGAACCCGGGACCTTTCAGTCCGCAGACCGATGCTCTACCACTGAGCCAAACCGGTTTCAGCTGAGCTTACTAATATGTTATAACTAGAGACCCGGTGCATGAATTCGTGCACGGATGGGGTCCCTTGACCTGACCACCCCCAATCACGGCCAATCAGGGCCATGGGCTGGGAGTAAGGATCACCAGAGGTTGGCCTGCCACAGGAGATTAATTGTGGCAGTGCACTGACTACCTGGGGGCAGCTCCTGTGTTGAGCGTCTGCTCCTGGTGATCAGTGCATATCATCTGGTCCTAATGGTCACTTAGGCTTTTATATATAGAGACTAGAAGCCCATTGCACAAAGAGATTTGTGCAATAGGCCTTCCTTCCCTTAGCTTCCAGCTCTGGTTTTCCTCCAGCACCTGGGACCCAGCCTTCGCTCTGGCCAGAGTCTGCCTTCTTCGTCTTTGCTGCAAACTCTGGAGTCTGCAGTCTTTGTCTTTACTGCGCCAGAGTGCCACTCCTGTAGATCCTTTGCCCCCTATCCTCCCTCTCATAGCAGGTGTCCTGTCCCACCAACCATTCCACACACCTGGAGCAGCTGGGAAGCCACCATCTTTGTCCTTCTAATTTGTATATTACCTCCTGATTGGCTGGTGGGCGCAGCAGAGTGATAGACAATTTGCATGTTTCTCTTTTATTAGTGTAGATATCTCCCAAAGTTAACAGAACTTCCTTGATTCACGTCTGCTTTACTCCATTTCTGTTTTCCCTTTTAGAATAGAATTGCTTAAAAGAGTTATTTCACTTTACTGTCTAATTCCCATTCTTTCCTCAGTTATTCTATGGATTAAGCCCCTACCTCTCCACTGAGCTTTTGTTTGGGTCACCAAAGACCTTATGTCAAGTAAAATTAAAATGAGTTGATGCTGGCAAAGCTCTTAGAACAGAGTCTGCCATGTAGTGTATGTATATGTTTATAATAATAACATCTATAATGGGAAGTCAGATATTGTTTAAAATTTTTAATCAAGAAATAAGAACATAAGTATTATATGTGATTACTGTGAATAAGAGTAAGGAATATCATGAGATGGTCTACTACTCTTCAGGATAAACCTTTTGTGCTTTCTCTCTCTCTCTCTTTTTTTTTAATAAACCTTTATTGTTTATATTATTACAAAAGTTCTTCATTTTTTTCCCCTCCACCAGGTTCCTATCCCACCCTCTTCCCTTTCCCCACCCCCCATTGTCCTCATCCATAGGTGCAGTTTATGTTCAGTCTCTTCCCGCACCCCCCATTCCTCTTTTCCCTGAGAATCATCAGTCCACTTCCCTTCTATACCTCTGATTCTATTATATTCAACAGTTTTTTAATTGGTTTTAAGATTCTATTATATTCAGGTTTTTTAATTGGTTTTTAGATTCACTTGTTGATAGTTATGTATTTGTTGTTCATAATTTTTATCTTTATTTTCTTTCTCTTCCGAAAGAACCCCCTTCAGCAATTCATATAATTCTGGTTTGGTGGTGATGAACTCCTTTAGCTTTTTATTTTTTATTTTTTATTTTTTATTAGTGAAGCTCTTTATCTGGCCTTCGATTCTGAGTGATAGCTTTGCTGGGTAGATTATTTTTGGCTGTAGGTTCTTGCTATTCATCACCTTGAATATTTCTTGCAATTCCTGTCTGGCCTGCATGGTTTCTGTTGAGAAATCAGCTGACAATCGTATGGGTGCTCCTTTATAGGTAACTACCTGTTTCTCTCTTGCTGCTTTTAATATTCTTTCTTTGTCTTTTGCTTTTGGAATTTTAATTATGATGTGTCTTGGTGTGGTCTGCTTTGGATTCCTTTTGTTTGGGGTTCTGTGTGCTTCCTGGACTTGTAGGTCTAATTCTTTCACCAGGTGGGAGAAGTTTTCTGTCACTATTTCTTTCAGTATGTTTTCAGTATCTTGCTCTCTCCCTTCTTTTGGGACCCCCATAATTCCGATGTTAGTTTGCTTGAAGTTGTCCCAGAGGTTTCTTACATTGCCTTCAACTTTCTGGATTATCTTATCTTCATGCTTCTGTGGAGGAGTGTCCTCTGGCTCTTTATGTTCCAAATCTTTGACTTGATTCTTGCGATTTTCCATTCTGTTTTTAGGACTCCGTATAATATTTTTTATTTCAGACAATGTATTCTTTATTTCTTATTGATCCCGTATTATTTCTTGTTGATCCCTTATTATTTCTCGTTGATCCCTTTTCATATCCTCATAGGTTTTATCAGCCTTTTCTAAGAAATTCTTGAAAAACCTTATAAGCGTGGTTTTGAACTCTATATCCAGTTGCTTTTTGTCCTCCAATTCTTTCGTTTGTGATCTTTTTCTTGTCTTGGCATTTTTGCAGCTTCCCTGAGTTAGTAGCCTTAAAAGTCTCTGTGTTCAGCTTGGATGGGGCAGAGTTTCAGAGTGGAGCCTACAGCCTGGCTTCAGTCAGCCACGCCCTATGAGGCTTCTGAGTCTCAGTATTCCTCAGGGTCCTTCAGTACTCGTTGCAAGCACCTCTGAGAGAAAGGTGCCCTCGAGTTTCGCCTGATACCAAACAGTCTAGGCTCTCCCCCAATGAGCCCAGAACTGGGGTTCAGTTCAGTTGGAAGTGGGGTTCAGAGCAGTCTGGAGCTTTTATCTCCTTCCCGCTAGGGCAGTCCAATGGCACAGTCAACTGCCCGTTCTCTGCGTGCAATGTGTGCGTCTCCGGGACTTCCTTTCGCCACTC